GTGTGCTGCTGATTCAAAAAAGCAAGTTTAAAAAAAAATTCTTGTTATTTCCTATATTATGCATGACTAAAGTCTTCTGACGGTCCTTTTAAGTATCAAGATTTACTCAAATTTTGTATTCTTAAACTGAAATATGCACTGGATGGGCATCTCTTAGAAGTAGTCATCAGTCTTCTACTGAGAAGTCTCTTGCTGCACAGCTCTGACAGCTCAGGTGCACATACAGAGAGAAATCCTCCTGGCATGGAAGCCTTGTGATAAGCGTTGCTTTGAGTTGCCAGAGGTTTCAACTGCTGCTAACCGTGCGTTTAATTACATATCTCATATCTCTTTTTAAATTACCTTTCCCGTGATCAGTTTAATTTGCTGTGGATGGTCTTCTTTATCTGATGGTGTGTATGAATACTTTCATCCATAATGTTTTAGGCTCTACATTTTTAATAACTGCTTGGAAGCATGTATAAGTTGTAAGTCAGAAATGTATCTTTCAGAAGTCTGCTAATTATGCAGTCTCATTTCATTATTATTGCTAATTTATTTTAAAATGATGAAATGTCAGAGTAATGATTTGCCTTGTCTCTGTTGACTGAGGCAAAAAAGAATTTTGAGAACTATTGAATTAGGACAGAAGGGAGAGGACTTGGTGAGCTAAAGAATGTGGGATAGTAAGAAGCAAAAGTCCAAGAGGTCTGCTCTAAAGGGATACCTAGATGTGAAGCTGTTTTAGGGCACTGTATTAGTTACCTATTGCTGTATCACAAATTACCACAAAACTTAGTAGCTTAAAACAACACACATTTATTTTCTTACTGTCGGTGGGTCAGGAACCCAGACATGAGTTAACTTAGTCTCCTCCTAAGGATCTCTCACAACGCTGCAATGCAGATGTTGGTCAGGGCCGTGGTCTCATGTAAAGGCTCAACTGCAGAAGTTCCTGTTCCCAAATTTCAGTAGTTGCTGGCAGGATTTGAGCTCTCAAGGGATGTGGACTGAAGCCTCAGTTCCTTGCTTACCGTTGGCTGAAAGCTGCCTTCGGGTCATTGGCAAATGGGCCTCTACGTCGAGCAGTGTGGCATCTTGCATGATCAGAGGAAGCACATGAGGAGAGAGACAGAAAGACAGACAGAACCAAAAAGATGAAACTTACAACCTTTTGTAACCTAATTTTTGAAATGACATTCCATCGCTTCATTAAAGGCATGTCACCAGGTCCAGCCCACAGTTAAGGGGAGGGGATGAGACAAAGAAATAAATACCAAGAGGGAGAGGTTATTGTGGAGCGTTAGAGAACAAGCCTACCACAGGCACCGTCACGTCATTTCCGTTTTATACAGTATTCCTTAACCACTTTATAAGACACTGCCAAGCACATTGCAGTATTCAGTGTCTTCTTGTAGAATTGAATTAATTTGTTACAAATCTTTATGTCATGAATATGAACTCTATCATATCAAACACAGTAGTAATTCAGAATTTATTGATCTTCCAGAATAACTTTCTAAGTCACCGTGCATGTCAATGTAAAGAGAATTCAAGTCTAACCCAGGTTATGACCAGCTTAGTGAAGTCTCATTTGTGTTTTCAGCTCATAGAGAGAAATGAATATTTGGGTTCTAGCCAACTAGATTTCTCTTTTTCCCCCATGGAGTTTTGAACCCTTGTATTCTAAACTTAGATCTGCAAGCAAGTACTATATCAAAAGTGTGTCTATTATATCTTCTTTTCTTTAAAGTACAACGTACCTCTACCCTGCCCCCAGCTTTTGTCTTTTTAACCAGATTCTTTTCAGTTCATCATGTTTATTTCTCTTCACCCTATTTAAAGACTTGTTTGGAGCTTTAGGTAAACACATATTGCTGCATGCTCTTGTTTTGGCTTACTTGTCAAGCCACATTGAAAATATGGCTTCCAGTTCTTTTTAGAGTAGGAGCTTAATGAGAAAAAATATATAGACTCAATTTGGACTTGCTTTGCTTTTTTACATTTACAGGACTGTTTTAGTTCCCGTTATCTAACATACATAAATCCTTTACTGTAGAGAACACCTTCTATTTTTTATCACTTGCCATAAAGCAGAGGGCAAAATCCAAGACAGAAATGAATAATTAGCAAAAATTTGGAAACAATAAATATTTCATTTTATTTTGTTTACATTTGTGAATGGGTATACAAACGTCAGAAACACAGAAGCAGGTATCAGAACATTTATACAATTTGAGATGAGTAAAAATGACTTTCTATTTCCTAAGACAGATTCTATATTTGTTTGCTGTGCTAGAACCTGCTGAAAGGGTTGTTTTTCTCTTGAATGTTTTATTTGAGAGAGAGAGAGAGAGAAGAAACACATTTTATTATCCCCAAAGATGTAAAAGAAATGGTATCACTAAGCAAAAATGAATTACTCTATAAACCCCAGAGAGCATTTTACAAGTTGAAGAGGGTACAGTACCAATTATACTATTATCTCACTCTACTCTCTGGGTGAATAGTCGGAAAGCCTAAAATTACAGTTGATGTTAGATTTCTTGGCTTCATTTGCAAATTGGAGTCATTTTCTTTTTTTGTCAACGCCATAAACACACGTTATATTGTTTAAGAGCAGCAGCCCCTAGTTTGTTATGATATTTTCCTCCTTTTTATCCCCCATATCAAAGGACCTTTTTTTTTTTTTTTTTTTTTTTAATTTGGCTTGTTGCAGATTGATGTAATACTGTGTTTCTGAATCATCTGCAGTGGTCCTAAGTACCATTTGAGCAGAGGCTTTTTGGCTTACTTGTCAGGAGACCAGTTCTGGAGAAGGTTCTCCAACTGGCCAGATGTGTCATTTTGGACTAGATTGAGAGCCTGCCAAAACACCACTTGCTGCCACTACCGGATATTGTAGGGGTGCTCACCACCCTGTTACCATAGTTTTGCGGGTCTTAACATTGCATAAATAGGCAGCTGTTCTGTATTCAGGATATAAATGAGTCACCAGCTTGCTCTACCTTGAGGATTTACCTGCAATAGGGAAGCACAGTGTTAACCCCTTCTTACCCTCCTGCATGAACATCACATTTAAATGCACACTTCCCTCAGCCCATTCAGAAGCAAACCCCTATGCATATAAATCACATCCTTCTTGCCAGTTAGACAAGAGAACCGAAAAATGTGCAGTTCATTGTGCTAAAATGGAACACATTTCCTCAGCAGCTAAAGCAGTAAATTAATCAGCTTATAACTAAGAGTGAGCAATTTGTGCTGAATTCTTTCTTACTGCTCCTTCAGTAGGAGACAAGGTTCTCTAATCTCATAAAAGGTCATGACTTCATTAAGATGGAAAACCATGTTGCAAGAGACAAGAAAAGAAAAGCCTTAAAAGTCACTCAGTTGTCTCTCTGGACCTATTTTCAGGACAGGGGATTTTTATTTATTTGGAGAATGACAATTAACCTGGAGACTTGGCCCAACAAAGAAGCGGAGTGCTGAAGTGGGTCTCATTACAGGACATGAAAAGCAGTTGGTTTGACCTAATCCACATTTGCAGCAGATGATTTACATAACAAGTTAGCACAAGCCGCCCAATTTTGATTTTAAATAGCTGACCAATTTCAAATAGCTTGACCAATTTATATATAGAAAATGTATGTGTGTGTTCATATGTATATATGTATGCAGGTGTGTGTATATATATGTACACGTGTATAACACACATACATATACACGCATATATTTGTGTTGGGGGGGTTATTTTTTTACCCCAAGGTACATTGGGAAAAAACCTTGTCTGTGTTAGAATATCAAAGAATAGGAAAGGTCAAGGCAGTTACAAAAAGTAGAGGCAATTGTGTTATATGGTATATTAGCTGGTCTCAACTACATTTTTTATTGAAGTATTGTTGACTTACAATATTATATTAGTTTCAGGTGTACAAGTAGTGATTAAATATTTTCACAGATTACACACCATACAAAGTTATTATAAAATATTGACTATATTCCCTGTGCTGTACATTACTTCCTTGTAACTTATTTATTTTATAACTGGTAGCTTGTACCCTTTAATCTCCTTCACCTGTTTTCTCAACTGCTTTTTCTAATGTTTACCCTAAAATAGATATAGTCCTTATTTGTTAAATAAAACCAGCATTCTGCAGTCTGATAGGACCAAGTCATTTCTCCAGGCTTTTCATTTTGCCAGGGGAAGAAAAGTGCACAGATAGATAGGTGACATTTGGAGAGCCAGGCATGCCAGATTTTCGGAGGTTACAACGGAGGTCCAACCTGCTGTTCTCCTAATGAAAGGAGGGGAAATTCAGACTGGCAAAACCGCTATAAGGGATATCTCTGCTCCGAATGTCACGCTGCCCAGATGTCGCTCGGCAGGTGGAGATGCAGACAGAATGAAAATGTAGCCCTGTGTATGTGGGTGCTAGTGCATTGCAAGGGTGAACAATGAGTCTATCTTCAGAAGTGTAATGAAAACAGTGTGGATCTTGTCCATATTCATGTCACGAGAAAGGGCTTTCTCAAGGAGTTCTCACCCCACTTCCCCTCCCAGACTGAACAGGCATACATGCTCCCAGACCACGTGCACATGACTTGTTTCAGGGTTTTAAGTATAACAACTTATTTTAATGCATTTATACACGTGTATGTATACGTATATGCATTTTAAATAGAAAATGGGATCATACTACATAAACAGTTTTGTACTTTGAGTTTGTATTAAATGTCAAAACTATATCATGAATGTGTCTCATCTTATTTTCTTTAGGCTTATCTCATTTTAAACTCAGATTTTATAGCAAAGGTTCATAGTCATAGAGTTAATCATTTCCCTGTTGATGAAGCGCTTAGATTGGCTCTAACATATTTTAAGATGGGCGTGGTTCTGTTCTCAGTAAATACCAGTGAATTTTATTAGAACAAAGTAAGTTAAGACTTGAAGTTACCTTTTGCAAGAGGAAGCTAAAGTTACTGTCATTGAGTTTTCTTTTACTACAATTGTTTTTCTTCAGTGTTACGAGATGACTTCCGGCAAAATCCCACAGATGTTGTAGTGGCAGCCGGAGAGCCTGCAATCCTGGAGTGCCAACCTCCCCGGGGACACCCAGAACCCACCATCTACTGGAAAAAAGATAAAATTCGAATCGATGACAAGGAAGAAAGAATAAGTGTGAGTTAAACTAAAATGGACCCCTAGAGAGATTGAATATCAAGGCTTAAAATGGATGTATTTTATTATTTTATTTATATTATTTATAATATTTTATTTATATTATTTATTATTTCTTGGTAAAGTTGCAGAGCTGTATTTGAGTGCTAATTACTATTTACACTGTATTGAAAGGACTGAAAAGAGGTAACCAAAAATAAAAACTTTGGAATGAGGCTTCAAATAGTCAAATATTATATAAATCAAGTGTATATGATATACTAATAACTGGACCAATCTGAATATGTAAATATATCTTTGCAGTAGAATACTGATGTCGAAGCTCTTTTTAAGATCTCCAAATGCATCTATTGATCATGCAATACATGTGTCAAAGTGTAAATGATGGCCATAAACTGTATTAACTAGAACATTTCTTTTCATACTACTTTCAAAATTATAAGAGGAAATAATTTGAGGTGATAAATATTTCAAGCTCTTTTCCAGTTTTTCCAATGTAATATTTATAACTAAAATATTATATGAGAACTCATTTCAAAGTTTAAGAGATAGAAAGTAAAATCAATGTAAAAATAACTGCCCGGTTTTGCAGTTTAACCCTTGTTTTCAAGGGAAATGGATGATCAGGTTAATCAGTCAATTAATATTCAAAATGGAACACCCAGAAAATGGTAAAAAGGTAGAGAAATGGCATATAGTTATTTTATTTTTTCAGAGGATCCATTCAACCTGTGTATGTGAAGTTTGTGAGAGCAGTCCACTGAAATAGTAGATAATGCCTCAACCTTCTGACATGGTTCTTAGTATAATTTTTATACTCAGTACAATAACTGAGACTTAATATATTTTATTTAAAATAATGTCTCAACGAAACAAATGTACCATTTCTATCAAAAAGTCCACATTTTCTGGGTGTCTATTCTCTTTAAAAATATCTTATAAATGAGGTTTTATTCTTATGTGTACATTGTGATTACATAATAACACAGGACGAGAGAGTCCATGCAAAAGATCACAACATATTCCATATGATTCTGGATTGAACTGTTGACACTGTGAGAATCTACAGTGAAAGATAATTTGGTTCTCAATGGTCTGTGCTTGGGTACCAAACTTATGAAAATGTGCTCCTGTTCAAGATCTTTTTCATGTTTGTAATCATTTAGCTTTTGCTTTGTAACAAATGACCCCAAAATACTGTGATTTATAATAACCATTGCATTTACACTATGATTCTGGGGGTAAGCTGACAGTTCTTTGCTCTGGGCTAGTTTGGTTCATCTTTGCTAGGCTTTCTCATGCTTCTGTGGCTTGTTTAAACATGTGCTGGCAGCTGGGATGATCTAGGATAACTTTACTCACATGGCTGACCATTGACTGTCTCTCAGCTGGCCATCTTGGTTCTTCTCCTCACGGCCTCTCATTTTCCAGCAGGCTAGCTCAGGCTGGTTCTCATACTGGTCTCAGGGTTCCAACTGCAGCAAGAGAAGGCAAGTCCCTATATGCGAGTGCCTTTCTTCTGGTGAAATGTTGCTTTAGTTCCACTGGTCAAATCAAATCAAATCATATTGTCACACTCAGCTTCGGGGGAAGGAGAAATGGCCTCCGTGGTTTAAACCTATCATTTATTATGCTCTACTGCATACAGTTGAGAATAGGTTGACTCTGTTTTCTTCTTAAGTAAAAAAAAAAAAATATATTGAAAATCCCTTTCTATGACATGGCTAGTTTTAGAGCCTGAATAAGTCTGATGAAAACGTACCTACTTGAGTTTTGTCTGCCTGTGAAATTAAAATTAAAGGAGGAAACCAGCATATTCTTATCTCTTTAAGAACACTCAGTCATTGTAAAGTTAAGATTGTTGAACTAGATAAATAATAAAAAAAATTTTTATTGGAAAAGAAGCTATAAGTTGATGATTCACTTACTAAAAACCTTATTCTGCTTTAATGTACCCTTTAACTAACAGACATTTTAACATTATTACATTTGTTTATTCAAACAAAAATGCTTCTCATTTAAGAAACATTTAGGGACCACATTTTAGAAGCCAATGACTTGTACCAAGTCATACTCATCATTCAAAAAAAAATTTTGTTTTTATTCAACCTGACCTCCTCTTCAAAAACTATCTCATAAATATAGTTAAGATGAGGCAAAGATAATTTTAATACTAACAATTGAAATGTAAACTCCATGAAAGCAGAGGTTTTTACTATTTGGTTGACTATTGAATCTCAAAGGCCTAGAACACTACCCAGCCCATAGAGGTACTCAACAAATACTCATTGAATTCTTCTGAGTCAATTAGATTTCATTCTATTATCCAAAGCAGATACCTAGTACTTCCTTCTGATGACAAATGTCAATAGAAATTCATTCAACAGAATCTCAGAGTGAAGACCAACCACTGTGGTTTAATGGGGGCAGTCACAAGATTCAAAATAGGACCAGGCAAGAGAGAGGAAGACTGCCTTAAAGAAGCATTCTCTAGAAAGGAAATATGGAGGCTTACATTGAGGGTGAATTTAAGAGAAGAAAGTACACATGCAGATGCCAAAATAGTGGTAGAGTTTTGTGTCTTAGACACTCAGCTATTTCTTTTAGAGAAAAAAAATGTGCTTAAATATTTAAAATTATTTATTAGTGACCTTTCTTTCTCTGTTTCTTTTCCTTTCCATTTTCTTTTTTTTCAATTTCAACAGATCCGTGGTGGAAAACTAATGATCTCCAATACCAGGAAAAGTGATGCAGGGATGTATACCTGTGTTGGCACCAATATGGTGGGAGAAAGAGACAGTGATCCAGCAGAGCTGACTGTCTTTGGTAAAACTCTCTTTTCAATTATAAATTGCTATTTACTACTTTTCCTTTTCCTTTAAATATTTTTGCTAATACCAAACACCAGGCCATACAGGGACAGTTACTTATGACTTGTGGTGAGCTCAATAGACTAGAATTGTCTTGTTTTCTGGTTCTGTCTTTCAATGAAATCTTTGATGTGAAGAAAATTAAACTTTTGAAACATTAATTTACCTACTTTATTCATATATATTTATAGGATTTTACCTTTCATCAGGATGTAAAAAACTGTCCTTTCTCAAAATCTATTTGAGAGATTATATACATTTAAAGTTTATCACTCATTCCATTGTGATGCATTTATGAAGTATTTATTATGTGCATGTCACAGGGTAAGGTTTTTAAAAATTAGAGAGTGCAGTGTATAGCCATTTCACTTGTGTTCTAATTTTAAAAATTTCAGATTGAGCTATTTGCAGTTTTACCTCATGATAAAAAGACTAGCTTGCTAGTTATACACACGCAATCAAAATTAGAAAAAAATTGATCAACTATTTTGCTATAATATTCATGTTTCTTCAACTTAAAAACCAAAGGACTCTTTAGCTGGAGTAATTCAATTAGTTAGTGAAAACGTGATTAGATCTGTATCACAGAAATAGTGGAGAAAGCATTAGGAAGGAGAAAATTGGAGGTAGTAAAGATGGCCAATTAAACGAAAGTAAGGAAAATGCTACAGGGCAGCTGTGGAAAATTGAAAGAGAAATACAATGACAGAAAATTGGGGAAAATGGGCATCCTAAAGATGCTGGAAAATGAAACATTCCTTTAGATGACATCAAAGTCCCATTGAAGTCCCATTCAAGTACCTGTATGGAAATATATATGTATACTCACAAACGCACTCAGAAACACATACACATATGTATATATACACACATATATAGATGCGTGTGTATATCTATCTCTCTCTATATATATTTGAATAAAAGAGTCACTATTGCAGATATTATGATTTCTTTTTTAAATGCAAGAGATAATGTGAATTTCAAATTACTTTTTTGTGTGTGCCAGTAAAATAATCTTCTGAATCTGTGCATGGTATGATAAGATCCTATGTCATTACTCCAGAACACACTGAGGTAGCATCAGAATCTGGCATACATCCCTAAAGAAACTTCTTTTGCAGTTTGGGATGTGCCACCCATGGTATAATGGGATCCCATGCTGCGATGCAAAAGAGAGCCATATTATGGTTTCCATTACATTTAGAGTGTTAGGTGTGGTTTATGAATATGTACTAGAATGCAGGCCTCTCTTTTCAATTGCTCTGAGTATCATGTAATCTCTGGTAATACTCCTTGTGGATACTAAGCAGCTTGAAGTCCCAAATGACAAAACCAGGATCCCATAATTCATTAAAGGAATTGAACAGTAAAAATAAAACTGTTCAAAGTATGCATGTAAATTTCTGTCCTACAGAGAGCTCAGACAATATCAGTTTGCCCTTACATTTCATGCAGTTATCTATCTATAAGAGTCTCAAAATGTGCTTCACTCCGTAATGAATAAAATACAGTTTTGCCTGCTAAGATATGAAATTAGCGGTCACTGAACATTAGCATTGAAAACCCACAAGTACAGCTATTCTATTTAAAGAAACACTCATCTCTATTCTTCTGTAGCTACCACCAGCTTTGGAACAGAAAAATGTTTCATTACAGCAGTATATATTGCCTTCAGAAGAAAATTGAAAGGGTTTAGTGTTATTACCCAAGCAATTAGACTTACCAAATGTGACTTGTGTTATGAAATATTCACCCTACTTTCTCTAAAAATATGATGAGAACTGAAGGATATCCCTAAATATGTCAGGAGTTACAGGGGGGACTTCTAAATTATTTTGAAAGTAGCTATAAACCAAAAAGATTGAATTTGTCTACAGGCAGTTCTTCTGGAACAATTTGTTTAGGAAGCTGAGAAACGTTTATCTCATGGTGTAAACTAGTTAGAACTGACCTAAGTACAATATTAAGTTGAGGGAAAAACTAAAATTCCATAATTGATAAGAAAACAACATCCAAACCTAGAAATAAAACATAAAAAGAGTAGTGATGGTCTAAATCAAGATTGTGACATCTTTACCAATACAATAGCCATCTGCAAGTATTTTGACTCTTTAATAAGTGGGATTGGACTTAGAAGTTTTTTAGTTTGAAAATTTCAAATTATGCTTTAAGAATCTGCACTTTAGGAAAAGTCTTAATCAGTGTGACTTAATTTTCAAAATGTTACTCTGCCATACTCTCTGAGTCATTTATGCTGTTTGTTCTTCTTTAATATTTGCTGACCATAAAGTAGCATCCTAGTTAAGTGGCAGTACCAAATCTAAAAATTAGAAGCAGGCATCACAGAGCAGAAGGACACTAAAATCTATGGCACAGTCTAGATGTCTTCATAAAGAATACTTTGTAGCAATTTACATATGTTAATTAAATTCTAGAGATCCTGAAGACAGAGAAACTAGAGTTGAAGTACATAATTAAATTTCCAGTTATGGGTAGGTTTGGGATGTCTGTTATCTAGAATTTAACTATCATTAAAAAGCAACTAAAAATAAGAATTGTTTCCTAATTATTTTTAAATGTTTGTAAAAGTAATACATGAAAAAAAATTTTCTGTGTTACATTTCTAATAGACATTAGAAGTATTGCAAAACTTATGATGAAATACAGAAAGAGCTTGCAACCTCCCCTCCTCCCAACACACCTACACACACACACACATTTCTCATCTTTGAACATTCCTGTAAGCCTGTTTTATCTTTTTCTTCTGGGATTTATTTCCGTATATCTATGTGCTTATTCTGCAATTTTATACATTTTAACTTCTTATTTTGGAAGGTGATGATTTGGCCCACTTATACTCCCTTCCCCAACTTCTCACCTGTACTTTCCCTTCTTTTTGTCTTTTCCCTTCTTTGTCTTTTCAGTATATTGACTTTAGAAACATTGACTATATTAATATTTAGAATTTAAGTTATTATAACCTTGTAAATATTGACTGTGAGCTAAGTGTTATGCTATTATAATGGCATTACTTTTCTGGCACTATATTTGGTCTTCTTTGAATTAATAATAAATCCATTTTTCCTTTTACTTATGTTTATCTGTGCCTGTCATGAATTCTTCTTGAAATCTTCAACAGAAGGTTTAAAATTCTCTAAATTCTATTTAGCTATTAAGTCTACCCTTGCTACAGCCATCCTGGAGGTGTCAGACTTCTGCCCAGTCCAACCAGGCTGGATTCTATTTAGATCTACCCCAGAAACTTCATTCTGATATTCATCTTCCCTTTCCTTTGATGCTGGATTCCCTGTTTCCTATATCCTGTATTTTTTTTCTTGTTTAACTCCTATATTCAGAACAGTGTTTCTCTCCTGATGTCTCCTTGACTAGAGCCTAGAGCACATTCCAGACCAAGCTATCTTTATTCAATCCAAACTTAATGGATACTTCGGCTGGTTATAGAATTCAAGTTTAAAAAAATATTTTTGCTCAAAATATTAAGGTCGCCACTTCGATATCATTTTGCTTCCATCGTTACTGTTGAGGAGTCTACTGAACTTTTGATCCCTATGCGATCATTTTCCTTTTTTTTTCTCTTTCCAAACTTTACTTAGTACCTTCTCTTTATCCCATGGTTCTGAAATGTTTCAATACCATGCCTCATTTTGGCACTTTTTTTCTTTTACTGGTTGGACACTTACTGAGCAATCTCAATCTAAAAACGCTCTATTCATACAAGTCAATGAAATATACTGTCCATTTTTTCTATTCCATTTCTCTGTCGAGCATAAATTCATTAATGAGACGTTAAATCTCCTAGATCTTTCTTTTCTTGAAATATTCCTTATTTATAGCATCTTGTTCTTATTTCATGGATGTTTTAACTTATCTTGCATCTCAGGATTTTAACAATATTCTTTTTTTTAAATAAAATTTTCTCATGATGCATTCCTCCTTTTCTTCTAAGTTCCTTTCCCTGACCTCTCGCCTGCATTGTTCTGTCTTTTACACTGGAGGCTTTCTTCAAATGACTGTTTTCTTTGGGATGAGGATAGAGGTTGGGTCTGGTTATATTGATATTCAGTTATTGAGTGAGAGATAATAGTTGATGGCCTGAGTGTAGTTGAGATACTGTGAGACAAAGCTATGAGGGAAGAAATCTCAGAACCAAACCTTAGGAAATATCTCTGTGTTATTGATAACTTGTGGCCTTCATTTAAGAATTTAAAACATAAGGTGTTATTAAAATCAAGGTGATTGTTAAGAGCAATTTAGTTCTTTTAAATAATATTAACTTACAAGTTTTAAAACAGCAAAATATTTCTCACTTGTTCACTTATTTAATAAATATCTTTTGGACACCTACTATGTGCCAGGCTCTGAGTGTTTAAATAGAGTTAGGGAAATGAATAGACAGGTGCCCTGCTTTCAGTATGACTCTCATATCATATTATATCAGCAATAACACGAAACTTTGCCTCTAAAGCATGGTGAGAAAGGCATTCTTTTCCCTCTGAGAATATTTACCTATGTTTGCTTTTGCTTCACAGGATGGTTTCTTTCAGACAAAGAAAATTCTTGGCAAGAAGAGAAATTAGTGCAGCAAGGATTTATTTAATCCCAGTCAGGCAGACTGATCATTATCATCCAGTCTATATTGGAAGGGCACAGTAATTCGCATTCAGTGGCTATCATAACCCCCTGCCCCTCACAGATACCCATTTAAAAAAGGAGACATACTACGACTAGCCATCTCACTTTCCAGTTTAATAGACACTACTGGGTGGCAGATCCTTCTGGGTCAACTGAAGTTAAGATAAGATTTACAAGCAGTGGTTAGGTCTCATGTGCTTTTACTGCATAGCTTTGGTCTTAGAGGATTTAAAGGACTCTACCTATATAATTATTGCCATAATGCTACTTTTATAATGTCAAGCAAAGTTTATTTTTAAATTG